GTGCAGGGCTCTTTCTGCATCTCAACAGGAAAGGTCCAACAGAAAGTGGCTTAATAAAATAGCCATTTTAATTAGCCAGAATAAAAAGAGGAATATAGATAGGGAATAAACCTTATCTCCCTTCTGATGCTGGGCACAGCGCATTGGTTCAGCACTTCATGGAGCCTGCATGGACTTTCCCATGGCACGTGGTGCAGATCCCATCTGTGGAGATGTTCCTCGTTTCTGGTCATTTGAGCTGTCCTATATTTTTTTTGGTTACGAGAAAACTCCTAAAGGCTGTCGACGTGGGAACTTCTGGCTGCACTGTTAGGCATGGGCAAAGATGCTTTGGTGCTGAGCAGGAGCTGCCTGCAGGTCCCGGTTCAACTGCTTGCTTGTGTGATACGTTGCCGTTTACTTCTCCGCTCGCCTGAGCTTTGCCCGTCGTTTCAAACCTGTAATGGTTTGAAGGAGGGTTCCTGTATCTCTGCTAGCTGCCAGGTTGATTCCTGCCTCTCTGGCATGTTTGGTTTGGGGCTTTTTCTTCATTTGTCTGTGGAGATGGTAGCAGTCCGAGCACAAAGAGGAGTCTAATCAGCTCATCCTGCGTGGTCCCGGTTCCCTCTCCCCGGTGCAGAGCGTGCTGCCGCTGCCCAGAGGTGGGCATGGTTGTCAGAGCTTGTGCTGGGTTTGTGTGGCGGGGTTTTTGGTAGCGGGGCAGGGGGGCTGCAGCGGTGGCCCCTGTGAGAAGCTTCCCGAAGCTCCCCCGGCTCCAAGTCACCCCACCTCTGGCCAGGGCCGAGCCAATTAGCGACGGTGGCTGCGCCTCTGCCGTAACGTAATTAAGAAGGGGAACCTGAGAGGGGGTTGGGACTTGTGAGGAGGAGTTAGGAGAAGGACGAACACTCAGGTCAGTGGAAGGATGGAAAAGGATGTGGGGGAGGTGTGCCGGAGCAGAGACCCCTGTATCCCGTGGGGAGATGGCAGGGCCACCCCCCTGCCTCCCATGGAGGTCACCGGTGGAGCAGAGGCCGACCTGAAGCCTGTGGAGGAGCCCACGCCAGGACAGGCGGCTGCACTTAAAGGAGGCCGGGACTCTGAGGGGAGAAGCAGCCCCCACTGTTGTGATTCAGCACTGGGAGGGCTGCAACACACAGGGGTGACCCACACCAGAGCAGCTCAGGAACGGCTGCATCCCATGGGGAGGACTCACTGCAGAGAAGGTTCGTGGAGGCCTGTCTGCAGTGAGAGGGGAGCCCCATAGGGCAGGGGAAGAATATGCGTCGTTCACCTCCCCCTCCCCAGAAGGAAGGAGCAGTGAGCTGGCCGTAACCCCCATCCCCTGCCCCTGCGCTGCTGGGGGAGGAGGGAGAGAGATCAGGAGCAGAGCTGAGCCTGGGGAGAGGGGAGGGGTGGGGGGAGGAGGTGTTTTTAGATGTGGTGGCGCTTCTCACTGTCCCACCTTGTCTGTTAAGTGTTGTCTTTGTTAGTGTTTGAATTAAAGTGATTTTTTTTTTCTTCCCCTAACAAGTCTGTCTTTTGCCTGTGACTGTAATGGGTGAGCACCCTTCCCTGTCCTTATCTGAGTTCATGAGCCTTTTTTTTTTTTTCCTCATTTTCTCCTTCCCATTCCTGAGAGGGGAAGGGGTGAGTGAATGGCTGCATGGTGCTCGGTTGTCCTCTGTGCTCAAACCATGACAGTGGTCCTCCATGGAAGTGGGGAGGGAGATCCTTTGCACGCTGCTGGGTGCTCCACCCATGCTCATACTCACTGCTCTATTTACAAAGGCCAATGCAGAAGGAGAGAGAAAAAGCAGTGAAGATGTGCAACAGAACAGCATCTCCTGCTCACGCTAGCTTGATTCTGTCCATCAGCTGCAAAAACAGGGGCTCACCAGTGTTTGAGGGGACCAGGAGGCAGCTTCTACCACCAGTTGCAGTGGGGTTGCTTTAGAAAATCAAAAGTGGACAGCTGATTTTAGTGATAATACATCTTGGTAGGAAAGGCCAATTTCAAGGTACTTAAGACCCATTTCCTTGTTTTATGAACAGCACAGTGAATATTTCTTTTTAATCTCGCCATGACTATAGTCGTAGAATGAGACATAATGTGATAATTGAAGGGAATTTGGCTACCGTAGGAATTCACGTAATCCTTAGGACAACATTTATTGTGCAGCATGTTCAAGGAGTGATTTATCTGCACTGTGTCTTTAGCCTAAGTCTTGCAGGGACTTCCTATGCTTGCTCCAGTGCCCCAGCATTTCTCTAATGTAGAATATAAATAATTTTAATACTCATATTTCAAAATCAATTGACAGAACAACAGACGGGTTAGAAGACTTGCAGCAATCTGCTATTTTTGCTACTGCAACTACAAGTGAAGCAGCAACAGCCCTCCTCCTGTAAAAAACTACAAAGAGGTAGTTAAGGCTTTACTCTTGAAACTGGTCCAACTGGGGTGGTTGATTCCCGTGTTCTGTTGGCCCTTGTGTCCTTCTGCTAGGAATATGGCTACATGGAGCAAACTGTAGAAATGGGCCTCTGCTTACTCTTCGAATTCAGTGGACCTATTTGCAAAACAAAACCTTATGTAACAATTTTTACCACCTCTACGGATGTTAAAATCCCTTTGAAAACATCCCATGTCTGTTCACTGCTTTCAGCTTGCTTAAACCGTATCCAAAGACATTATAGGAACATTTCTTAACAGGTATAATCTCTATCCGATTTCTTAATCTGGAATAAATCAAAATTCTTGTTATGAATGGAATATTTAAGGACTACACTGTCACTAAAATGTTAACTGCTGCGAGCTGGTTTGTAACTAGGTGGCTAGAGCTGCTCACATACTCAATCTCAATTCCCTTACAGCGGTTGTCATAAAAAGATGAATGTTAGTCTTCAAAGACCTGGTGTGAAACATTCTGCCTGCTTCTGTTTTCTGAACGGGTAATGCAATCCCAGCAAATGGAGATATTTTTTATTTGATTTTTTTTTTTCAAAGGAGGAAACTTACTTGCCAGCCCGTGTGGAAAAATAAACACCCCTGCTCTTGTTCTCCTCACCCCAAACCAGAGGGTTGCTGTCTGGCGGTGAAGCAGTGGTGTTTCTGTGGTAGGCTCTGCTTTTACACCATGGAAGCCGGGTCCTTCTGAGCTGCCTCTGGGTTACCAACAGCCAAAGAGAACAAGCCTGCTGCAAAGCCTCGCAAGGCTGAGCGTTCTCATCTGGCCGCAGACGGACCTGCAGGGTGCTGAACCTGTCCTTGATGAGGCCAGACTCTCTCCGGTGACCTGGTGCCACCCAAGCTTTGGATAAATTTTCTCCAGGGGACTCTCCTACTGGAGTCTTGCTGGGCCCGTTGTGGCGAGCACCTTAGGATGGCACCGCTGCCAAAGAACGTTGCCCCTGGCTGCTTAGAATATTCTGATACCCTGGTGCTGGCACAAGCTTTTGTGATGCTGCCCAGCCCGAGGAGTTCAAGCCAACCTGTCCTTCCTCCCCCTGACCAGTGTCCGGCATCACCACTCAGTTTAGCTTACATCAATACCTGAATTCCTAAACAACTAGGACATTTTTCAGTGTCCAGAACTGAACTACATTCCCAGAGCAACACGCTGACATTCAGCATCTTTACCCTTGCAGTTTGAAGTACGGGTAAACAAGTTAAGGCAGTTCTGTGTTTCCAGCTGAGTACTTTAGAATCTTAATGTATGAAGTTTGTTATCCCATAGACTTGAAAGTGTCCCGGAATTATTCTGGAAGCTAACCTGGAGAACTGGTGTCAGCCTGGGCAGTTTCTTCCATGTAGGTAACTGTCACTTCAGAATATCTATTTTCTGGAGATAATTTCTCAATGTTTTTTCAAAACACTTCCACAAACAAAAGTTGCCTTCCAAATCCGGGTTTATGCTTCTTTTCAGCCTGAGGCTTGTTTAAACTGTTGTGCTTAAGGAAGAATAATGTGGCAAGGGCTCTTAAGAAAAGTTTGGAAAGATGTTGGCATAGCTGCAGGATTGTAACAATGCACAAGTGATATAGGGAATATGATCCATTAAATAATAAATTATGGTTTAATCATTCAGTTTATAAATAATTTGATTGTTATACTCTCTGAATGAGTCAGATGCAGTGAAATCAAGAACTTCTGGCTCCTCAACCAAAAATCATCATTAAAGACTTCCACTGTGTATTTTTGACAATCAAACTTCCAAGGTCTGTGGAACGAAGTAGAGCTTCCTCCCAGCAGCAGAGCTACAACTTTCTGTAGGAAAGACGGGTCCTAACGGTACTACCGGCCGCACCATGCCTGCAGGAGAGCGTTTCGGATGTTTGTGCGATGGTGCCCCAAAAACGCGCCTCGGGAAAATTTCTCAGCGGTTGGGTGAGCAGGAGCCCACGGAAGGCAGCGCCTGGGAGGGGGTGTCCTGGGGGGGGGGGGGGGGGGGGGGGGGCGCCCAGGAACGAGCTTCGAAGACCGCTTGTGCGAGGTCGCATGGATGAACCCTCCCTTTTAGTGTCCCCGGAGTTTGTCACCCCCTCCAGCAACCCGCCGAGGATCAGCCTCCTCCCGCCCGCGGCTCCGGCGCAGCCTCGCTGAGCCTTTTGGGTGCGATGTGCGCCTTTCCCCCCTCTCCCCCGCCCACCATTTATCACCGCCCCTGTGGGAAGACTCGGGGAGGGGGGTGTGTGTGTGTGCTCTCTCCCCTCAGGAATCGCGACTTCCTCGCGATGGGGAGCGCCCGCGGTTTTTGGACACGGCGGCGGCCGTGTTCCACGAGGCGTGACGGAGCTTTCCCGTCGCTGTGAAGGGGCGAGGAGGGGCGCTAGGACCCTGCGGCGCTTCGGCTGTGTGTGTGTGTGTCTGCGGGGGGGGGGGGCGCCCCCGCCGCTGATTGGCGGAGGCGCCGCCGCCGCTGATTGGCGGAGGCGCGGCCGCTCGGCGTGGCGTGGCGTCACGGCCCGCCCGCCCGTCCGTCCGTCCGTCCGTCCGTCCGTCCCCACCCGGCGGCGGGGAGCGGGATGGCGGCGGCCGCCGGAGCTGGGGGAGCAGGTTGGGGGGGTTAAAGCCGGGGGAGCAGGTTGGGGGGGTTAAAGCCGCCCCCTCCGCCCGGAGCTGCGCCCCTCACCGCTGACCCCCCCCCCCCCCCGCACGCTATGGAGGCGAGCGGCGTGGCGTGGCTGCTGGTCCCCGTGCACCAGCTGGTGTCGTGGGGTGCCGCGGGGGCCATGGTGTTCGGCGGCGTGGTGCCCTACGTCCCCCAGTACAGAGACATCCGGCGGACCCAGAACGCGGAGGGCTTCTCCACCTACGTCTGCCTGGTGTTACTGGTGGCCAACATCTTGCGGATTCTCTTCTGGTGAGTGTCGGGCTCGGGCGCGGCTGCCCCGGCCCCCGCCCCCCTCCTCCCTCCGGAGGTGCCCGCCGATCGCGGAGTTTTGGGTTGGAACGTTCGAGGAAACGGTGCCTTTTGCGTGAGCCTACCCCGCCTCTCGAAGATTAAAAACGCCGTCCTTCCAGAAAGGGCTGAACCTGCGTGGGGCAGAGCCAGCTGGGCTGTCACCCTCGCCGCATCTGATCATCGGTGCTCTCATGGTCCAAAACGCAACTTTTTAACTCGTTGGCGAAAAAAAGGGATTTCAGGCGGATCTCTTTTTTTTTTTTTTTTTTTTTTTTTTTCCCATCCTGACTGTATTTTACGTTTCCCTTGCCCCTGTAGCTCCGTTCTCAGCGCGAAGGCCGCGGTCCCACGCGCCTTTTCCAGCACCTAGTTGGTATTAACGTCACCGGGACACTTGCCATGTATTTTTGCATTTTCCCGGGATGCCAGCTGGCTGCAGGGGGGTTCGCTTCGAGCCTCCATGCACAGCTCCAGATTAAAACATTCAGTCTTTGATAAGCAGGCAAAAGGCGGGCTGTCTTTCAAAGCAAATTACTTTTGTTTTCAATACCGCTTTGAATATTTAAAAGGAAGTTTGTCTGGTGCTGCTGGACAAAGAAAATGTTGTGAGGGCATGATTTCTGTAAAGTAATTTTATTAATTTACATTCTTCCTTACTACTTATCATATAGATGGCACAACACTGGGAAGGTACTTGAGAAACCAAAGATTAAATAATCTGGGAGATTACTGCAAATAAGGACAGTTATTCTAAGTATATTTTGACTATAAAAATACTGCTTTGTAGTCCGCAAAGAACTGATAGGTAACAGGCAACATCCTTTTGTTGGGTTCCAGTTTCTTTTTAAAACTCCTCTGACTCGTTATAAGGAACTTCCTGGATTTTTCTACAGCAAAATGCAACGTTTAAGTGCTGTGCTGGAGCGGAGAAAACGGGGGACCCTCTCCTGGAACCACAGCTGGCAGTCAAAGTGAGGAGTTGTCACTAGATCAGAGCTACTTGTTGCGTTGGATTTATGTTTTCCTGGGGTGAAGTATATGGAGCAGCTGTGGGAGCACGCAGAGAGCAAAAAGGGAAGTAGAGGGGCTGGCAGAGGGAGGAGAACTGAAAAGCCTGAGTTGACAGTTTGAGAAACAGAAATTGTCTAATTTTTATTGTTTCAGTGGAGGTTGTAGAAACGTAGAAATGGTTTGCACCTGAGCGGAGATACTGGCAGTTCCTGGGTAACCCAGGCGCCTGCATCTCTTAAATGAGACTTGGGCTATGGAAGAGCCGAAAGATCTTTAATTTGAACTGATTTTAAGTACACCTTGTTAAGAGGTGCGCGAAAGGAAGAAATATTACAAGTAATGAAAAGTGATAATTCGTGCCGCTGTTAAGAGATTTGTCGGCACTTCAAAAGAGAGAGCGTGCCATTTTGTTGATAAGATTATGTAATTTTTTTACAGCGAGTCTTTGAGCCACATGGGAGTATCTCTCCCTGACACGTGCTGGCTCTGCCCAGGCTCTGGCCGCCTCGGAGCTCGGTGGAGGTGTGGGACGTGCGGCGGTGTGCCTGGCCACCCGGGGGGCACACGGCCGCCTCTCGGGGGAAATGCCTCCTCCCTGCCCCTACGAGCAATGAATGATCTCTTTCGAGTTCCACTGAACTGAAAGGCAGAAAAGAAGACTCACATAATCATCATTCAGTGTTTTGCTTCTGTGCTTGGAAAGATTAGATATCGCTGGAAGCCCAGTATGAACACCAGTAAGTCGCGAAAGCAGCGCTGAGGTTGGGTCTTATCCCTGGGCACGTGGATGATTAAAGGAAGATAGAGCAAGACCCTCAGAGTTCTGTGAACATGTTTAAAATGTACCCGTTGAGCAGATTGGCAATTCAACTTTTATGTTGTTTCATGTCACCTATGGCCACCCTATTATCTGGGACAGAGCACTCCAGATAACTTGACATAAAAAGCAGAATTATTTTAAGTGTGTATGTAATATTCATTGGAGGGAATTAGAGGATTCTTCTTTATTTTGTTTTAAATTTATTAAATAATTTGATCCATTCTTGTGCCAAAACAGAACTGTTCCTACAGGTAATTCTGTTTTGTGTATAATTTTGCCCCAATCTGACTTTCAGAATACCAGTTGCTAAGATTACTTCTCCTTCCCTTTAGCAAACCAGTCCAGACCTTCATCCACCTCTCTCTTCTGAAAACTTTACAGATGTATAGCTGCTGTTTTCAACTGGTTTTAGTTTCTCTTCATTACCCCTGGTTACTGAGTGTATGATTTGTGCCAGATTCATCCCTCCTGACTTCCCTTCCACCCTGATCCTAAAATAAGTACTTGAAGTGGTAGGCCTTAAAAATTTTCAAGTTCTAATGGTGTTTCTTTTCAGACCTGAATTTTATTTTATTTTTTTTTTTAATAACTTCAAAGGCATTTCTATTACTTTCAGATTTTCCCTGAATTTCATATATTCTCAAATTTGAGGCTCACAGAGTGGAATGTTACGTATTTCAGCTGCATAGGCAACAGGGAACAGGCAATTCCTGCCTTTTATGGCCGTGTTTGCTCTGTATTTTCACTCCTGAGCTGGTCTTTCTGTATCTGTCACTCATACCAGACCCAGTCCTACGTTTCCCCTATGGCTCTACCATACTTTGCTCACCTCAGCTGTGGGGGCAATTCCCTCATTTCCTATTTGCGAATTGGCAGATTCTACATGTTCCTAAAATTGTCCTTAGTTATCTCCAAGGGATTTGTGTTGTGTGTTTTTTTTTTCTTTTTTTTTTTTTTTTGTTTTTTGTTTTTTTTTTTTTTGTTTTTGTTTTTGTTTTTTGTTTAACATCTGGTTTTACAGTGGGTGAAGTTTGACCTTTTGTCTCTCCTCCAAATAGAGTATTTACTTCCTAATCTTCTTGGCGTGTCTTATGTGTTAATAGAGTTGCAGCTGGTGTATTTCACTGTGACAGTAGCCAATCAACAAAGTACTGCTGAGATCAAGGATAACAATCCGGTTTCCAGTTACCTGTTTTCACAATTTCTCTTCTTCCAGTTAGACTGTCTTCAGTGGTAAGCCATTTTTTAAAGTCAAGAGGACTTGGTGCAGTGCCTCTCCTCCTTGTCTTCCTCCCACTTAATCCCTTAGTTTCAGGGTGTGCTCAAAGAGCTTCTGTTTGCTAGTGATGACTGTAATACATTATCCATGAAGTCATTTTTTCATGCTCCTCTGTTTCACAATGTCTCTAAATGTCATCTTTAAAGACATTTCTGCTTCCACTTATGTGTCTTTGGCCTTACTCTGTTCCAACAGTGAGTTACAAGCCAGAACTTTGTGGAAAAGCAGTGGGAGAGGACTGGTCTGCAAGAGTGAAAACTGCAGATGGATAGCAGTGGGCATGATTCTACTTTGCTTTGTTTCTGCACACGTGGCTTTTGTTGAGGAAAAAGAAAGTGGAAGTTTGACAGTGCAAACTTGTGGTTCAGTGGGCTGACTGTATGGGAAGTCTTTGTCCCTTTTAAAGAGGATTCTGAAAAAAAAATTTGAAAGGTAGACGGTCTGTGGTCACAGCATCACACAATGGAGTCTCAGTTTACCAGTGTGAAAAGTAGATTTTTATGCTGTGACTAAACTTGAGATCAAGTTACCTTTATTTTTAGTAATAATCTATTGTTATAATTTTATATAACACTTCAAAGCACTTGTTGTTTTGAGGTGCTAGTTAGCTGCTGGTCATGATTTATGATTGGTATCAGCTGTTCCTTTGCTCTAGTCCCTCTGACGTTTATCAGTACTGTTTCTTCTGTCTGTCTTCTTCAGACTCCATAGGTCACTTTTTCTTGCTCTCTACTGGGTTCAACTTCTGGACTGGTCAGCCTGGAAAAGGTCTGCGCTGTGCGTAAAGAAGAGGCAGTGCAAACCTCAAGACCTTTGTAGTTCTGGGACATAGGAAGATGTATGGCATGCTCCAAAAAAATCCGATACTGATTTTTTTTTCCCCTCTGCATTTTTAATAAAACACTTCATTACCATTTTTGTTAGGTAATGTCTTACTGTACTTGCTAGAGTTAGCTCTGATTTCTTGTACAAGACTGGTTGTTAAAATATCCAAGGGATACCACGAGTCTTATTGATGCTTGAGCTCTGAGATGGTTAATCATCTGGTTTAGCTGTCCTAGGCTGTTTTGAAGTTGTGGGCCAGCTTCAGAGCGCACCGTAGCACTTGAACTCAGTTGTGACCGAGACGAACAGATCTTCTTGGTTCATGTGGCCTGCAGTCTGCCAGCTGACAAGCTTTGCATTGTCAGGATCAAGAATAGGAACAAGAAGGTGGGCGAGAGTTGTGTAAGCAGTTGGGGGTGGAGGATGCAGAAAAACTTACTTGTGAGTTCTCTTCCCCCTCTCTCCCTTCCCATTTTTTTTTTTTTAAACAGAGTTTATGATGAGATAAATTACAGTTTCTTTGACTATTAAAGTCAGAATAAATAGCTAGAGGAAAGGGAGCTGTAGATTTCTTAGAAGTCAGCAGTAGGCATTTTTATTTGTATATCGAGTAAGTTCAGCCAAAAGTACTTACGCTCCCTGCTAGTCCCAGAAGTTTTTGAACTTTTTTTTTCAGTTTTTCAGTCCATAAAATGTTTTATGTAGTAGTGTAATATGATTTGTATCTTTTCCAGGAAGACGCTATTCTTTCCAAAGGTTTTGAGATGCAATTCTGTGGGTCACGGGCCCAAACCTCATACAGCAACACCGTAGAAATCCAAACAACAGAAAATAAACCCGTCCAATTTTGGAGTTGTTCTCAGAAAATAGTTGCCTTAAGACAAACCGTAGAAACAAGTTCTGGCAGTCAGGGAAAAGATGAAAACTATGGAGTGTTACTTTTGAGCAAAGGTAACCCTCTACGCCTTCCACATCAGCTGAAACCAAGCGGGTTCTGAAAGCTGTAATGTCAGCAGAACTGGGAGCTCTGTGCTGGAGTCAGGGGAATCGGCTCCCTGTTATGAGTAGAGGTTTACTGAGACAAGTATGCAGCTGGAGGTAGTTCATAGGAAAATTTTGCACTTGCTGTTGTCTGGGGTAGATTCCTACTTATTTACTTATTTTGCTGTAACACCTACAGTGCTACTTGTGGATTGGGTCCCTGCTGTCAGCTGTTGCTTTGGCTTCAGAGAGCGGGCCAGTGGTGTCTGTAGGACTTTCTGTGGGAAGGAGAAACTTTTGCTTTTAAGACTTCTGTTACTAAAATGAGTCTTGCCAGCTTTTACCATGTGGGCAAGGTGGGATGATGCTATAAACCAAGCTGACAGAGTGACTACAACTTTGAAAGATTGCATTACATATAGCCTGCTGGTGGAATCTTGCTGAGATAATGAGCAAAAGTGTTATGCAATTCCTCCCTCTTCTTTTTACAGATGCCAGAGTGAGGATAAAAGGGACTGCTCTCTTGTAGGAAAAAGTAGAGGGGCAGTAGAATTTTGTATGCCGAAGTGAGAAGCTTGTTTTGGGTGCTCTGTAATGTCCTGGCAGTTTGTGTCAAGCAGAAACTCAAGTCGAGAGAGATCGTGTTGTGAAACTAGTTTGTTTCTCGTTCTTCTTGCTGATTAGATTTTGTAATTGTGTGGGCTGTCTCTCAAGACAGCTGCCGTGCTGCGGCCCTGAGCTCTTTGTCACGGTGCTGGCGGTGTGTGCAGCATCCCGCTTGCTTTCCATGCTGTCCAGAATCTGCAACTTCCCAAGGAGCTGGAAAAGTCGGCCCAGAGTGGGGAGGCCTGTAGTAACTTTGGTGGTTTCCAGAGCGGAACCGCCTCTGCGAGCTGCGGCCGTGCCACGGGCAGCCCCCGTGCCGGGGGCCGGCGGGAGCTGAAGTGGCACCCAGGGGCGTAGGAGGAAGCACGCTCTTTTCACACGTGCCTTAGGAAAAGAGATAAGCAAACCTTTAGGGTTTGGTCTCCTTTGGTTTTTTTTTCGCACAGTTGGCGTTTGCTGTTTTGAGTCAGCCCGGGACGGGACTAGCAGAATTGTTGCAACAGAATTGGGTTGTGCTGATGGTATTATGTAGTTTTCTCAATGACTAGTTTCTGCTCTGGTTTGAATGCTCACTTCTCGTGTTTTCGTCACTCTGAAAATGCATTAATTGTTTTAGGGCTGCTGAAATATTAATAAAATGTAAGCCCCTCCCCCACTTCATTTGCACATTTGACTAGTACTGGAAAAAAAGAGTTATTTTATTTTTACAGTATTAAGGAAACGGTGAAGAACTCTTTGTGTTTCTGTAGTCTGAAATACGAAGTCTGAGTTCCCTGAATACTGCAAATGACGCTGGTCGTTTTATGTCACATAACATTGTAGGAGTGGGGAGAAAATGCAGAATAATGACGGTGACCCCCTTATCCCCAGGACTTCAGAGTTGTTCTTTGCCACAAGCCTGTTTTAGTATCCTAAGGCTCTTCCATCTTTTTCTCAGAATCTGCTTTAACGTTCCTCCCCTCCCGGCTCCTGTTTAGGCAAAGATGGAAATGGCGCCTGCGAGGCAGCAAGTGAACAGGATGTGGAACGGCGCGGTGTCCCTGCAGGGCGTGCGTCTTGCAGTGCTCCTCGCTCAGGGTGGCTCGAGGAGCCTTAAACCGGATTAGCGTTGCTTTGGCAGGCCCCAATTTCAGTTGTGAAGTAGAGTAAGCAGTTTGGAGCGGTGTTTGTTTCCGTGATCCTGAGCGAAATGAGTGTTGCGGCTTCACTTGAAAGCGTCAAGAACCTGACAGTGGTCCTTGGCACTGGTTTTCTCTTCAGGCTCGCTGTCCGGGTAGTGCGGTGTGGGCCACGTCCTGTTGGCTCTGCCTGTGGGTCTCCGTGGCAGCTCTGATTTCCTGTAGATGTGACCTAGCTTAGAGGGTTGTGTTGCCTGCAAGACTCAATTTGGGGATTGGTGTTTGGGGAGATGTATTTCACATGAGTGTGTTTCATCGTGTAATCTTTGTTGTCTTTGGCTGGAGGGTTGGAAAAAAAAATCTACAGGTGGTGTGCGTTTTTTGAATGCCCTGTAAGAATGTTTAAATTTCCAGTTAACTCACAACACGCAGCAGAGGTATTGTTTTGCCATCCCCGCCCCCCCCCCCCCCCCCCCCCCCCCCCCAATCTTTAATGGGGTAGAGGATCTGCATCAATACTTCCAGTTTCATTTCCAGGAAGGCTGTGGTGATGGCAAATTGTTATGATCGGGCAGCAGGTGGCCACGCTTATGTGTGTTTGTAGTGGGTGGATGTTTATAGTGCAAGCAATACTTTTGTGAGTCACCCATTACTGAATGGCAAATCATCTCAGCAGGGAGAAACTAACCTTGCAGCGACCTGCAGCTGGATTTACCATTGTAATGGCTTCTAGCTTATTGTTCTTCTAGCTCAGCTCCTCTTAAATGCATTATTATATTTTTACATGCAAATGCATTTGTAATTGGAGATGTTTTTTTGAAGCCTGATGTAAAGAGTTTTAACTGTGCTGTAATTCTGAGTAAGTCTTTCCCATTTTTTCCTCATTCCCTGAGTAAGAGACAAATACAACAGCAGTGAATCCCAGTAGTTCAGGGGAATTTGGCCACAGTCAGCAACACAGGCTGAATGAGCCTTGGGATTATGGGCGTGGGGCACAGGCTGGGACAAACTTCTGTTCTTCTCCCCTCACATTTTTTGCTACTGCAGTGAAAGCCGTATCCAGAGTGCACTCTGTGTGTGATTACATGCATCAGCTGTGTTCTTTATTTACTTCCTCATCATGTCCTCCACATTTGTTACAATAATGGCTCTCCTGTGGCCCACCACAAATCCATAGGTGGCAGAAAGAGTGTGTGGGGGGACTAAGATAGGTGGAACTGCTGTAATTCCAGTAGCTACTGGTGGTGTCTTTGGGAATGCTGTGGAGGTTCGAGGCACTGTCATACTTCTCCTTAAGCTGTGTGCTGTTAGGCAGGAAATACTTGGCTATTTTCATTGGTGTGGGCTGTTTGGCTGTTTTGCACAAGACTTTCAAGGAAGCTGGTCAAGGACTTTCCAGTCTCTCTCCTGTTCCTTGTTAGTTGACTCATAACAGAAAATCTCGCTCTGATGAAACGGCTGTAGTGGGAATGAGGTATTGTGTGAGAGAGTGTGATGGTGAACCTAGTTGGATTTTGCTAACACGGAGCTCTGCCATGAAAGTAGCCGAAGCGTAGGAAATTACATTTTGCCAGGGTGCTATAAAACAGGAGCTGTCAAGAAGAGGGCAGTGGTTGTCATCTCTGTGAGGCTGAGGTCTCCGGCAGCGTGACGTGCTCAGAGAATGGCCTTAGTAACTGCCGTGAGGAAAGTTAGAGAGCCTGTGTGCCTCACGGTGCAGGCTGAGGGAGTTGGGGAACATGGCGATGTTTTTCACCAAATCCCTTCCTCAGCATTTCCGTCTTCAAGGCATAAAACCGGCAGAACTGAGCACAGAGAAGCAGCTCGCCATGATGTGCGTGCAGTCTTCCTATTGTAAGCCTCATACACTTCGAGGGCTGCATATGAAAAGCTTCCACCCTTTGCCCCTAGTGCACTTGCTGAGTGTTTCTGGTGGGGATTGCTGAAACTTCATCAGGTAATGCAGGAAGAAGAGCTTGGAGCATCACCGGTCTTCACAGAAGGGTCTCATTTTCCCGTGGCAGAACCTTGTGCAACCACGTAAGAGTAAGCTCCTCAGTCAAGGTGCGCCACAATCCAAGTTCACCTCTCTGTTACGTGCAGGAAGGGCTCAGTAGTCCCCATCAAGCATTGCCTGTGAGCAAGCAGAAATTAAATTGGGGGAAGGACAGAAGTGGACAAATTATGTATGCTCAGTTCCCACATCTTTTGGACTTCCTTACTTCCCCTGACCTTCGTCCAAAACAGACGCAAATTGGTGAGTCGATTGGTGTCTTCTGCAGACCTGGTCTTTCCACTCAGATGTCTAGAGGCAAACAAAGCATAATACCTGCCCCCCTTCCGCCTTTGTAAGAAGATGTTAAATTAAACCTAGCAATCTAACAGCTGCGGGTTTCTATTTATATATTTCTTTATAGGGCAAGTGCTATTGTTTTTATGACTTCACCTTAAAAAATGAAAAATTGCGAGAGGTAAGTTTTGCACAGAAGTCCTTGTGAAATCTACAGGGTGTGTCGTATGTGGAGAGGATACGTAACTAGTATTAATGCAGCATAACTCTAGTCTGTGTACTGCCTTGACTGCTCAATGAATCTGCTTCTCCTTTCAAAATAATAGGTTTGCTGCTGGCTTTGGAAACAAAGACTTCAGCTTCTGGTTTCAGAATTTCTACCATCAGTCCACAGGGATGTTATAATAAGGTTCTCAGATATTCCTGCAGGGGGATTGTGACTCTGAGCTACTGTATGTGCATCAAGATTTGGCTGGTGACTTTCTCTTCTGCAGCCTTTCGTGCCTGTTACTGTTAGGATTTCCTCTTCCAATTGCTTAGATAGGAGCAAGGAATGAAAGTGAGTACAACAGTTGTCATCTTTAAGATGTTTTATATATTTTATTTTCCTTTTTTTTTTTTTTTTTTAGGTTTGGAAGGCGTTTTGAATCCCCTCTTTTGTGGCAAAGCATTATCATGATCATTACTATGTTACTGATGCTGAAACTGTGCACTGAAGTACGTGTGTCCAACGAGCTAAACATAAAACGCCGCTCTTTTGCAGGTTAGTGACAGGAACTGGCTTTTGCAGGATAAATTTTTTTGAAAGCATGGTACGCTGTATTTTGGACAAAAGTTCTGCCTGAATTGCAATCCAGTCTCTTTTCTTGGTAATTCAGTGTAGCACTTCCTGAACTTCATTTTTGAAACTGCTTTTTTCCAGGTAAAGATGTAAAGCTGTGATTTTATTTCAGATGGGTCTTGGTTCAGTCTAGAAGTCAGAGTTCTCCTTAATATTTCACACTGTGCCCTGAGTATGGAGCTGGCTGTTATGCTGTTGTGCTAGCCTGCATTTTTTTAAGATCTTATCCAGAATAAGAAGTTATTTTCTTCAGCTGTACTTTCTACCAAGTTTTTAGACCATAAAAGACATACCAGATCATACACTGCTATCTGAAATTTTATTTTGCAATTGTGAACACTTGCTTTTGTCCATAATTTGTTTTCTACTTTCTGGCTGTCAAAATAGGAGGTGCTGTCATATCATAGTTGCAAAACTATGTCCTTTGGTATACCATTTCCTTGGGCTTTAGTGTGGGGTTAGTTAGGATTTATGGGAATTTTCACATATTTCCAATTTTGGTTAGTTGTTCATTTTTAGGCATTGATAATTTCAGTCGGGGCCAAAGTATTATTCTTCATTTAATGCAATGTTCTAGCTTTTTGGAAAGAAGTCCCTGCTGTTTTCCCTGATAAGATGTGTGAGAGGGGTTGTTTTTGTATTTCTCTGTGTTGACTTTGACTCACAACATTATATGTTACAGCTTGTTGCCAGCAAGAACAAAATTAATGCTGTGAGCTTTTTGTCAGTTGTTTTGCCAATATGGATGTATAATTTATTCTCTCCATCTGTTCTCCTCCCTCACTCCCTAATAATTGGGGGTCTGATCAGTTCCAGATACCCACAGCCATCATTAGAAGGCAGCAGCTGCTGGCTGTGCAGTAGGGTCATTTCTCTAACAGCTAAGGAAGCTACTTCCATTCTCACTCCTTGTGGAGTCTAGTGTGGAACTATTCAGGTAAGTGAATTCCTGTGGAAGAGGAGCTGCACTCTGGCTCCCAAACACAGGCTGCTCTGTTCACAAGGGTTGTTAGTCTGGCAGGGTGAATGACTTAAATTAAAACTACTTTCAGCCAGTTTTAGTAGCGGTTAAAATCCAGGAAGCGTTTGGGAGGAGCACGTGTGCTTTCTTCCTCCTTTGCTCTCTGTGCTAGTGTTCCCTGAAGTGGCAGAAAGGTTTTTCTGTTTGCCCTTTCTAAGGGGAATTTATCCTCCTGCAATTTTACACACGCACACACACACTCTTGCAGGCTCATTCAGTAACCTTTGGACTAAAAGGAAGGCTATTCAGTTTAGTATACAGCCCTCTTTAAACAACTCTCCCTGGAAGACCTACGGTCTACCAAGGGATAATCAGTATTTCCCTTACCACGTAATGGAAGCTTCTCAAGGTTGCACTGTGTCATTTGATCCTGTTTCCTGAAACTCAGCTTGTCAGGTAGATTTAGCTAGAGAGACTGATTTTACCTATGTGCGCACCTTAATTGTTTTCATCCTCCCACAAACTTTGAGAACAGCTAAAATATCTTTTTTTCTTACCTGTGATTGATTTTTAGTTAGGCCAGCTGTAATGTGATGGCTCAGAATAAACGTACAAATGCATTCAAAGCTCATCTCAAGTGAGGCAGAAAGGTAGATTTGTATTTGAAACACTGAGTAGGAACAAGATCCCCATTTCTAATCCTACACCTTATCTCCCAAATTTTATGGTGATCTAGGCAGGGTGATAAATCTGTGTACTTACTTTCTTTCACAGTTTACTGGGACAGTGAGAAGCTAGGTTTGAAGTCAGTGTTTTTGATTAACTGTGCAGACTCCTGAGGGGAAAGCGCACGATTTCTATATGATAATGTAATTTATTATTTCTCACATGGCTGGTCTTCAATTTAAACATTTTTCTTCTTTAATTTCTGACCTCCCTCTGACTGTTTCTGAAAAATAATCCAGAATACTTGGAAAGTGAATAGAGTATTTCAGTGGAAGGGTGTTTGCTGTTTTCTTGTATTACTATTAAATGCAGTATTTACCCCCCAGTTACATTAGTATATATTTCCTAGTGTGTTCTGAATTATGTTGAAGTTGCCTTTTTTTATTTTGTTTTTATTATTCTCCCAGGTAAGGTCCCTTAAGTAATAACTAGTTCAGAAGGAATCTACTTAAAATTTCTTGAAGCGTTAAGGAGCAGTCTCTCATAACCCTGACAAGCTTGTTCTGTATTCTCTAACCTGTTTTGTGGTGTTACTGGGTTAAAATACATATTAATAGCAATTCAGAACATAGACATGAAACCATTCAGTCGAAATGCTTGCACTTGCATTTGTAGGGTAACTATCACAGCATGAAAAATACAGTCTCCCTGAACTTGTTAGGAAAATGCACATAATTTTTTTTTTTTTTTTTTTTTCCTTAGTACTTTTCAATTATGGGATTTCCTCCCCTCCCTTTTAGTGTTGCAGTGTGAAAGTAAGTTGGCAGTGGCAGAGCCCATCTTGTGCTGCTACTGCTGTCTTTGACTTTTTGTTCTGGATATATAAATTTTATCCTTTATTTACATGTACTGATTGAAAACAGAGTGAGTTTTCTTTATATATCCAACTGTTTACTATTTTTCAAACTTGGACTGTATAGCCTGTTTTTAATTATTCTGAATTGGAAAAAAAAAAAAAAAAAAGAAAAAAACCACCAAAACAAGTAAAACAAGAAAACAACAGAAGAACCTGACTTCACTTTAAAATACCTCAAATGACAGGACGGTTCTCCTGCATATGAATACTTTGAAAGCTATGTGAAGGAGTCTTCAGATGAAATCAGCAGGTGTGAACAATGCCTCTTAATCTTTTATCCTTTATTTAACACCACTTTAATTGCATCTTGACTGCTTTAATGCAGGTGTCCTGATACCATTGTCGTGGTAACAGCAGCTCTCCTTATTGACTGCCCACTTTTAAATTGGTGTCTGTGCAACCCTGGTTTATGCTGTGTTGTTGGCTCAGTACAGAAAGGCTCAGGGTTCATCGGTAGTTTCTCTTGTTATAGTTGGTTTTGTTCAAAGCATTGTAGTATTTCTGGGGCATGATGGTGCTACCACGCGAGAGCTAAATATTGAAAAGGAAAATGTGCACGTCCTATGTCATGATTTGAGAGTCAAGAGGAGGCTGAAGCAAGGTGCTCACAGATACAGACAGCTAAAAACATCTGGTCGCTCTTGCAGTGTTGGCTGCCCAGAGCAGTCTCTTCATATTCTTGGAGAGACAAACACTGTACAAAGAACCCTCTTTTTCTTTCCCCAAATAAGCCTTCCACCTCTCTGCCACAAGATTCAATTTCAGTTATGCCCAGGACATTGTGACGGATTTTGAGCACCCTGAATGTATGAACTATACTGAAAACAGTAGACGGTGTTAAAAACAGGCTCTTAGACGTCTCTTCTTACTATATTACAGCCCGGACTCCTTAAGTAGGACAGGGGCTCTTGTGTTTTTACATGAAGATGATTTCCTCTGGTCATTCATCCAGTTTTGTCTTCCTTCCAACTGCTGGTTGTCTTAACCCGCTTTGTAACTTATCTCTTATTAGAGCACTGATCCTTTGGAGAGCTCTGTTTTTGGCACTGGGAAGCACTCTTGCATAATACATGGTTTTCAGCTGGCAGAGGAAGGCTAGAGTGAAGAAATTTAGCATGCAGAATGATTGCAGAAGGGAAGTCTACTCTGTCCTCCTTGATACGATCAGCTTAAACTCAGGCTTTTTGAAACTTAGAACAGCATTTTCCACAAGAGACAAAGCAAATCTATTGCCTTAGCTGATTATACATACATACCTATGCACTTAATGTTGCTGAGGTAACAACTTGTTTTCCCTGTTTCATGAAAAATATCTAAAGTAAGAGTTAAGCTGTTTGTTTCACTGTTTTTAAGTCTTCATTTTCTCCCCTTAGATATAGTTGGGTTGTGCATTGAGACTGCTCTGGGGCTTCCTACTGCTTGACCCTATCTTAACATCACGGGGTGGGAGCCTTGGAGAAAGCATGGAGACTAAAATTTCTGGCATGTTTTGTTTCGGTTATTACTTTTTTTTATAAGCAAAATGTACTAACTGACTAAACTGGAACTAGAAGATCCACTGTTGCATTTAATCATACAAGTCTGTCTTTTCCTTCTTTTATTTTTTTTCCCCTCAACTGTTTTTTATGTAGCTGCAGATAGTAAGGATGAAGAAATCAAAGCACCTCCCAAGAGATCCTATCTGGGTATGTACTGTACAAACCCATTCTGCATGAAGTTGTCCTCTCAGCTACATATTTCATGCTTTGCTACTTTTTGTAACCATTTTTAGAAATGATTGCATGATCATTTCTATAGAGAATGTTTGCATTACCTTTTCTTGACATACTAAAACCTGGTGCATGATTTTTTTTTTCTTTTTTTTAATTTTCCCCTCCCCACTTTTAACTTTCATAGAGGAAAAGATGCTTTCAGCTCTACTTCAGAAACCAGTTTTTTGAAGGCAGTTGAATTCCCTGCATTGTGTGTCTCTATCTTCCTTTTTCCTTCCCCAAGCTAGACAAGTAAAATACTACATGATAACAGGGATCCATCTCTTCAGATTCCTATTCCTCCTCTTCCAGCTCTGACTCTGGAGGAAACTATGAAAAATACAGGACTATCTTTCAGCATTGTTCAGAATGCTGGATAAGAGATTTCCCGTAACATTTGATGTTCAGGCAAAATGCCTGCATCCTTGTGAAATTGTCTGGCTTGTGCCTCTCTTTCATTAGAGTAGCCTCAGAATTGTTATTTGGGAATTAGTAACACATAAGGTGAGAGTGTCCAGTCTTCAGTCTCAGAGTTGGAATCTATGTTTAATTAGCCTAAGGAAGAAGAAATATTAGGTGCAAACCAATTTGGCAGTATTTTCAAATCTTAGTAGTTTGGAAAGAAAGTCACAGTAATTCTGTTTTAAATCAGTTGGGGTATTGCATTAACAAGGTTATACGGACTAGAGACACAGATGTTCCGCAAAGTCCACTTTTAGATTGATCTTAATTGAACTGATTCAGAATTTCACATTGATACTAGTTATGCTGTGTTGCAATTCTTGAGTTAGTAGGGGGTGAACTAAAAAAATAAAGAGTAAAGAGGAATATTACTGGTGCAAAAGGAGAGTCTCTATTTCAATATTTGTCAACACACACAGTTAAACTGGAGTTAGCTCTGAGAAACACTACAAAAGAGTAATATTAACCTGAGTGCTTTCCTGAAGCCATAAAGCCATTCCTGCTAAGGTTAAAAAATAGATTCTTTTAATGATTCATCTTCAGGATCTCCCGTTTCTGATGTAGGGGCAAAATTACCCGCTTTGGGAAATTTACCTTTTTTGGTCTGATACCAGTATTTTGCAAAGCACCTTTTCCTTTTGGGTTTTTAAACATTGTTTTCTGAACTTGCTGTCAAACTATTTTGTTTTTCCCTTTGTCTTTAATTCTAGTTTGTAGTCATTCTCACTGGCTTGCAACACTAACCAATGGAATATAAACTTGAAGCGGCCCTGTCTTCCTTGTGTGTATCTATTCCTGTTTTCTTTTACTAATATTCAGCAATGTTTTATTTACAGTGTAAATAGAAACAGCTGTCTGTGCTCCTAGTTAGAATTGAGTGGATTATTTAAAAATGCTTCAAGTGGTTAAAATTAAACAGAAATAAGTAACTTAATGTGACCTTTTACTTATTGCAGATTTTTTTTTGGTCCCTTTTTTTTGGTTAAAAAGTAATTTGCTTGGTAATTTGGGAGATTAAAAAGTTGAAGTTTGTAGAAAAAAAGCACCATACCTCTTAATCCAACTGATTTAAGTCTGAAACACTTGGTTAGTAAATGTTACTTGAAGTTCATTTTGGAATTATTTAGCAAAATGGGATGAATCAAATTTTCACTAAGGAGCAGGACAGTCTTACTCTATTGCTCAGAAGTTTAAAGACTGGGGTGGTCAATCTGTTGAATGTGATAATTCTTACTGTTGTGAACAAATCAGAAATGTTTTGAGGTGTTTCTGTATAATATACATACAGAAGTATATCCTGGTGGTTTAAAGAGTGGGATGAAGCATGGTGCTTTACAGCATAGGTCATATTTCAATTTACAGGACTGAGCTATGTCCTGCAGGGCTGTGTTTTGCCAGAGCTCTGGGGAAGCTCACTTAGAGGTTAGGTAAGGGGAGTACTAGCTGTAGTTTCATGTGGCAGTGCATTCCCACAATATCTTTTAATGAGTTTTGATTAAACTTTTGTTGAAGAAGAGCAAATTGGCTTTCAAAATTCTCCCTGTTCATTTCCAGGGTGTAAAAAATGTTACTCAATATGTTTTTAGCTTTAGAAACCATTATGTTACTGTATTTTTCCCGTTACATGGTAAATGCGCTGTATACTGCGCTTGTAATTGAAGGTTGACTATCCATGAACACTATTTTATTGTAGAACTGTTGAACCCTTAATCTGAAAATGTATTGGTCTACCATTGAATTTCAGGTGAATTTGTTAGATAAATACCGAGGCATTTGTTTGATGCCTGCTGCTGAATAGGAGCTGAGCTCCTGCTGTGCTCCCTGGGATTGCTTTTAGGCATGTTCTATTGTCAGTAATCCAACAAACCACTTTGCCTCTGTTTTTCCACAGGTTATCCGAAAAAGCCTTTATCTGGCACATGACTCTGAAAACTGACTTTCTAGCAGTCGGTGCTGAGGGGAGTTTAGAGTATGGGGGAAGGTTGCTGCAGTTTCACTGTCCCAAGTAAAATAAATATAATTTACAGTGTGGTGGGCCCCAGAGTGTAGGGTTTCCTGATTTCATGCAGAAATAAAATTACTCCCTGTTTTTTCTTGGCAAAGGAAGGATGAAAAAGAAGTAGCTCCAGTTCTGAAGGGATGATGCTTTATTCCCTTTGTTTTCTAATGCAAGTATCTAGATCAACCTAGTGCCTGCCAGCATTTGATGGCTTCCGCTGAGGCTGTGCAAAGCTGCAGTTGAACTATATTTTTTTTTTTTCTTGATGAGATACTTTAGAACAAATGTGGATGAATGTTTTAATCTGTTACACTAAAATACAGAGTTCCTATGTATCTATTTTGAGCCCTGTCAGTGTTGGAGATTGCTGGGGCAGAAGTAACAAAACACTAAACAAGGCATGGCTCCAAAGAGGCTGTATCTTTCGAGGTTGTTTAGAGCGGTCTCATGGGTGTGGCCGGCAAGTCTCAAAGTGAATGTAACTTGTTTGATTTTTTTTTCTTTTTTTCCAAGTAGATGTTTAAACATTTTGAAGGATGCTTCTGATAGATCACGAGGGTTTTTCTTCCTTCTCTGAAGTTGGTTTTAAAACTTGACATGTTAGTGACCCCTGAACCTTGCTTTTAGCCCAAATGGAAAGTGATCCCAGTAACATTAAGTTTCAAGACAATAGTGATAAAAAGACAAAAGCTTAAATATTTTTGCAATAGGGATTTGGTGCATCTAAAACTACTTTTTTTTTTTTTTTTAGGGGAAAAGGTGTAAAATGTCTGTGTAGTTAACTTCACAGAATTAGTATCTGCATAATAATAACAGTAATGTGAATTAAGCAAGTGCAGTCATCTGTTACATGTTTTTCACTGGCGCTGTGACAGCCTGGTAAAATAACTCAGTTTCACCTCTTCTTTTGTCTACACTCTTTTCTTAAGGCATCAGTTGGCTTGTGACAAATTAAGTGTTGGCATACTTAATCATACTTAAAAATACCGGAGCAGTACTTAATACATTATATGTGCCACGAAGGACGTAAACTTTATTTAATAGGCTCTCTGGCTGCCTCTGTTCAGAGTGTTTGGCCTCAGGGTTCAGCAGGGGCGTCTGGCCGAACCAAGGGAAATAACGTGCCGTGTCCAGGCCTCGACACCCTGAGCAGAGCTGTGGACAGAGCAGAGACATGTTTTTCCTTGGCTAGGTGTGGGCAGCACTTCGGTTTCATTGAAAGAATGCTACTTTTTCCACCATGCTTCCTAGTAGTTGAATTCCCTGTACAGCTGCTGTGGAGTTCAGGAACAAAAGCAGAGTTGTTGCTGGGATGCAGCTCGATCCGTGCATAACGACCTGCGCAGGGGTCTGAAGGGGTTTAGATCCCTTCTCCCCAGGAATGTATGTCAGACTCATTTCAGAGTGCTTTTGTTGATCTTTTGGGGGGGTGGTGTGCAGCAGAGGGGGTTATAATGATGTGTCTGTGTGAAACTACCATGCCAAAAGGATTTTTTTTTTTTTTCCCCCAGTTGTTTATTAATGGAGTTCTAGTTGTCCAAGAATTCAGGTTTACTTTGCCTGAGAAAATGGCACCCGGCTGCATTGGCACTTCATTTCTAGTTCTGTGTATGGTGAGAAAAGTTATTTTCCCTCATCTTTCTCTGCATTGATATTTAGACCTTTTCAGGAGACAAAATAAGAAATGGAGATTTTAAGGATGAAGTGGCAATTATTAATTTGTTATAAGTAAATACTTAAGTTGAAGACTGTAGAATCTTTGCACTTTTTAAAATACATAATTTTGGTTCCTTCTTAGTTGATGTTGCAGATGAAACAAACGGATATCTGGAAAATAATTTGTCTATCCAGGTATGGGTTTGTGCTGGAGGTCTAAGTTACTGTTCAGGCGTTTCAGAATAATTCAGTCCAAATAGAACACTATTAATTTTTTAACAGAGCTTACAAATCTTTTGCATACCAAATGGGTAACTTTTTTTTTAAGTACAAGTGTAGACAGAGAGAGGGAATAGTTTCATAAAAAACATTGTTCTTCTATTTTCATGGGGAATTTGTTTGCTGAACCATTGCAAAACCAATATTAAAATACTTTTATTTCAGGAAACTTCAGAAAGATGGATTTAGGTCAGTCTGTTTTCTGGGGCCAGTGTTTCTCGGTAGATACTCTCTTTCAAGCTTCAAAGTTCCATTTAGTGTAAATCTTTCTACAACTCCTCAGGCTAATGGGCCCCAACTGCAAAGCTGTACTGTGGCCTTTTTCTGCCCTGCTGAAAAGTGTCGGAAGTTATTCGGTAGGAGGGTGTACCTTTTTGCAGGCTTATCTAGTAGTATTCACAAGTTATAAATGGAAAGAGTAAGTTTATCTACTTAAATTCTATATTCCAGAGAGATATTTTCCTTTTAGAAAAAAACAGCTGGGAAGGGAGGAACCCAAATAATAGTTTATGATTGTTGAGGGCCTCCGTGCAACTGT